GTACCATTGATTCTCTAATGGACAGTGATTCATAAAACACATTCATGAATCGGAGCTCCTACTGGTCCAAGTACTGAATCAACCCTCAAGAGAATTATTTATCTACTTCTTTCTTAAGAAGGAATGGATTCCATCTCGTGTAATAACATTCCCGGCTACTTACTTCATCATGTCTCCAAAATACAAGGAATAGGATTCAGGATCTCAGAATCCGTACCGAGTAAATCAAAAGACACAAATCCATAAACATGAGTCTGTTAAGAACTCATGATTAAGATTATTCTATATATGACCATCGGTAGACTCAATTAGAATTTCTATACTTAACGAAAATTATTAGAAATTCATATTGTGTTTGTGTCTTTATTCCACATAATCTCATTATGCGAAATACACTTATTCAATATCTCGGCATATTAACAGTGCGGATAACACCGTTCCATTCTAAATGAGAATGACATGTATTAATAATGTTTTAATTAAAGATTCTGAACTTTAATTAAATTCATTATGAACATTACTTTTTGATTATTATCCTTAAACATTATCCTCTCGTATATAACACTTATATACAATGTTTAAGGTTACATAAATAATCATGGAATTTTCATTGATATTCATAAAATATTCACAAATATATACACATAAAATTGATGAATAAACTCTTTTATTAAATAAATAATAAATATCTTATTACATCTTATGCTTCTAGGACACCATTCCCAACAAAAACCGCACTAATTGATTGTAATCTCTATCTTTTGGGAAACTATCTCAAAAGACAAGGGAAATATCCCAAATTCAAATAAGGTAGGTTTATAGGCGGTGACCTAAGCTATAAATAGGGGATTATAGACTAGAAATTCCCCAAAGTCTCACACTGAGAAAAAAACGTGTAATCTCTTCTCAAATTAGTGAAATTCTCTCATTCTCCCCACAGTGGATGTGGCTCTCAAATTAAGGGAGAACCACTATAAATCTTCATGTGTTCTTATTTTTACTGCATTAACTCCATTCTTCTATATTTATATCGCTGTGAATCGCATTAATTTATCTCAAAATTCGTTAATTCTTTGTTGACGAATTTTCACCGTCAACCTAACTCAACTAAAATCGTTAAGCACCTAGATTATTTTCATTCCCCTAATATTAACTTGGATTGCTTATTAAAGTCGGTCTATACATTTCTATGTATCTTATTTTCTTATAATTTATTAATTGCTCTCACCACTATAATCCCCTTAAAAAAGTGATGTAGCGGAAGCTTAATTAGAAAAATAAAAATAAAAGGGATAAATCAATTAACTTATTGAGTCATATAGAATGTAAGAAAAACTGCTTTGAAATCTCTTGATTCACACAACGTACTGAAAATTAGCAATAAAATTCGTTGATTCAACTTCAGTAACTCTTACAAATTTTCCCATTTTGATAATTTTTAGCTGAAAACGTCATATGAAATACAAAAAATAACAAAAGAACTCCATATGTTAAGATTTTAAATAAAAATAACACATATCACACAAATAATTAGCATCGTTGAACAATTTAGTAAATAGTTACTTCGTTAACCCCTCCTCACATTGAAGTGCAATTACACAATAAAAGTTATCATTTTTTATACTACGCTCAGCTTTCTTCTTAATTTGTTTGATTGAATGAACTTTGAGGGTTTATCAATGGCGACCAATAGTAATGACAAAAGTAAGAATTTATTGATATTATAGCAAAAATTATGAGGAGGAAAACTTGTAAGAGTGAAGTCGGGGGTGCTAAAATTAAAAATTGGGAGACATAATGATAAGGTCTATAGTTTAGGGGAGAAACATAAAATTTGTCCTACAAACACATATGGCCGAATTACAATTATAGGATTGAAATATGGCTTAAGTTTGTGAATATTTGATACATGGCCTAATTGTATAATGATATTGAAATAGTATATTATGTAATTACTTTATTAACCTTGTAATAATATATTATTTTTTTCACGTAATCAAGATGTTGCTTTTTTTTCCCCCTACATTTTGTGAGATATATTTTTTTTTAAAAGGTTCAAATACTAGAAATAAAGGAATTGGGGTATCATTAAATTACAATTAATCAACCAGTTTAAAATGTATTTCTGACTATAGTAGTATTGGTAAATTTTAAATTTTTTTACATAATTTGATTTCACTAAAATCTCTATTAGTAAAAACCTCTCACAAATAGTTTTATAAAAAACCACATCGGATAATAAGAATCAATAACATAAAGACAAGAAATTTAACGTAATGATGACTTAAAAATTGACCATACAACATCATTAACGTAAATACAATGCCAGTATTGTAATTTTGAACGAAACCATCATTAAAAAACTGGTAACAAAGACTGTTTTATTAAGATAATTATATTATCATTAAATAAATGGGAATTTGGTTAGGAAATAGGTAGAAAACGACCCTATACAAATGTTAGAGCGTGTCATTACATTAAAGATTTATATCTTCACATGCAATAGTCTAGATGAACACTAGAAAAACATTTAAAACACATACATTTAAACCAAACAAAAACAACGCTATAGCATTTCATTAAGGCAAAGATTATATCATTATATAAAATACATGAATATTTTAATGGCAATATATAAATGATATGTTTTTCTAAGGAGGCAATGTATAAAAAAAAAAATGCAAGGAGCCAAAGAGATGGAAATATATATTGTGTGTGATCTTATATATAGATGAATTAGGTTGTTAATTTAAATTCATAAAATTTGAAAAAAGTGTTGTATTAATTAAAGTGCTAAAATTTAAAATCTAAATGAATGAGGTGCAATTGAAAGAGATGGAAATTAGTTACCAATAAAATCAATTGAAGGGATAGTTTTGGATTGCCAAAAAATACAATTCAAAAAATCAACTATGTAAGTGATATTTATAAAACTGCGCCATATTTCAATTATCATCAAGGGCAAGGTCATTATTTCTTGGGGGAGTGAACAAGGGCTCTTGGTAGTAAGGACCTGGGCTGATAGCGGCCTTAAAAGGGGCCCTTGTTTTTGTTTACACTTGTTTGTAATGACCCAAGATGACAGCAAGCTTAAAGCGGCCTCAAAATAAGCCCGATCCGTATCTTTAAGTAGTTGGGCTCAACATCGTACCCATAAACTTATCCCTTTTTCCCCTACTTTAATACAAAATATTTTTTCCCTTTTGCTGTTGGACAGAGTCTCGCTCTCTAGTGGCGTTTTTCCCTTCGGTACTTCCGTTTGGAGACAGAAACCAGATCAAATTCTCTACTTCGCGTAGCGCTTTCACGGGAGGATGAATTGGGAGCTGCAGAAGATGAAAGATTTTTCGAAAAGGCAAAAATTACATTGACTAGAAACACAGATTGAAAATTAAAGGTCTGGTTTGCGTAGATTGGTTTGTAGGTTCGGATGAAAATGGGGCTTCTCAGTATCATAAGGAAGATCAAGAAGAAAGAGAAGGAAATGCGCATTCTCATGGTGTACGCAAATCTCTCTCGGTCTCTCTCTTCTTTCTCTCTCTAGATCCTTTTCTCTATCTTAAAATTAACTGGCATTTGTTGATTTTGTGTTCTCCAGGGGTCTAGATAATTCTGGAAAGACTACAATTGTGTTGAAGATTAATGGGGAAGACACTAGTGTTATCAGTCCCACACTCGGCTTCAACATCAAGACCATTACTTACCAAAAGTATTTTTTTTCTATTTTAATTCCTTTTTTTTTTTTTCTTTTTTTTAAGTTTGAATCTTCAAATTAATTACTTTACTTGATTAGCATCTCAGGAAAATAAAAGGCTAAAAGATGGACATTTTTTTTTAAGTGCGTGGTTGTTCATGATCTAATCATTCCAATTAAGATAATAGATTGGAATCAGTTTACCATTCCCAAAAGCTGAAATTTTTGGACGCTTGAAAGTTATCTTATGTATATATTTTTTAGCAGCTGAAGGAATCTCAGATTGTCTGGAACTCTCGAATCTTTTTTACATGATCTTGTTATCTTAATTCGGCTTTAGAGTCTTACTCTGTAACACCTCGTATAGCTTTTATTCAGAGGTTTTAATTGAACTTTTGAGAGTACTATAACTTTCCTAAATTCTTTACCAAAGATTCAGGTAAATTTGTAACTTGTAACTTGAAACCGCAGAACATCCATAAATGGGTGGGAGTATTGGGCCATTCGGTTTTGAAAATAATTTTTGTTAGATATACTGGGTTAATAATTTGAAGCAGCTGAGTGTTTGAAATGCTTATGCAGTAATCGCATATGGGGCCACTATAATTAATCACATTTTTACACGATCTTGTTACCTCAACTTGGTTTTGGAGTTTTTGCAGAAAGAAGAAAACCAAGCCGCATATTCCTTTTATTGGTGATAAGCAGTTTTTCAATGCCGTTGTTAACTTGATGGCAGGTATACTCTTAATATATGGGATGTTGGGGGCCAGAAAACTATAAGGTCATATTGGAAAAACTATTTTGAGCAAACTGATGGCTTGGTATGGGTAGTTGACAGTTCAGATCTTAGAAGATTAGACGACTGCAAAATGGAATTGGATAATCTTTTGAAGGAAGAGGTATATACCCTTTTACGTTTTTTCATCTACAAGTGATTTGAACAATCCTTTTTTTTTTTTTTTCCTAGCATAGAATATCTTCCTCTTAAACACAGAATTACTTTTGGTGCAAATTTTGGGATACTTCTCAACTTGATATAATATTTTGATCATGACTGACTATTTAGTATATGATTTTCTGATACTTCTCAACTTGATATAATTTTTTGATCATGACTGACTATTTAGTATACAATTTTCTGAACTTGGTCTCTTCTAAGTTTTATATTTTGAAAAAAGGATTATGAGATAGATGGGACTTTTTCAAGGAAAGGGAAAAAGAAAAGGGTTTCATTTGTGCTTCAAGCTTTTAAATTTTTCGCCGTTGATGCTTAGTTGTCTGGTCATTTGACAGAGGTTATCAGGCGCATCCTTACTGATACTGGCAAACAAGCAAGATATTAAAGGCGCCCTTAGTCCGAAAGAAATTGCTAAAGTAAGGCTGCAATAATACAATTATTTATGTTTTGATTATTGAAAATACTCTTTGTTCTAACTTCTAATACATTTCCTGTACAAGTGTTCTCTCCTTTCTGCTGTTTTTTTTAAGTACGTATTGCTATTATACGATTAATCACAGATCTTGTATGTTGATAAGTAGTGTTTAGGTGGCTTATTTTTCTGAAACACTGTTTTATTATAAATCTGTAGGTTCTGAACTTGGAGGCCATGGACAAGACACGTGTCACACGTCACTGGAGGATTGTGGGGTGCAGTGCTTACACAGGAGAGGGGCTTCTTGAGGGATTTGATTGGTTTGTCCAGGATATTGCCTCTCGAATTTATGTGCTCGATTGATGCTGCTATGCCAGTTCGAGCCGTTTGTCATATCGAAGAAATCTCCGAGTGTCAACAGCTGTTAAATTGATTTTACAAGGTCTTAAGGCTATTTCAAGTCTAATGAGGTCATGTTTGCCGTGATAAGCCAACTTTCAAAATAGAATTGCGATGTGCAAATGATAAAATCTGGAGCATTCTGGATATGATTGATTTGTTGAGGACGTATCCCTCCTCATTTCTCAATGCATGGTGTAGTAGAAGTCAAGCACTACTTTCTTCTCTCAGTTGGCAACATGGCAAAGTAATAACCTCTCAACTTCAGTTCATGCATACTAAACTCTTCATTATGGCGTGTTATTACGAGAGAAATTCTTGTCAACCTATTTTTTTTTTAATTATTTTTACTATTGAGAGATATTAAATCGAAGAAAAACATATTAGCAAACACTCAAGATTTACAGCAATTCACTCTCAATGTCATAGTAACAAAGAAGATTATTAAAAAAAAAAAAAAATCACACTACTCAAGGCTCTCAGCTTCCCTCTGTTGTTTTATTTTATTTTATTTTTTTTATCGAATCTCTTTAATAACCCTAAAATCAGCATCCTAAACACAAGTATAATTATGACAACCAATAATACACAAGTTTCTGTCGTGAAGAGATTTAGGGCATGTTCTTTTTGTCTAAAAAATTCAAAATAAGACAATTCGAGTTTTAATTTTATTCAAGTTCACGTTTTTTTAAGTTTTAATTTTATTCAACTTTACTCAACTTTATTCAAGTTATAATTTCAACTCAAGTTATAACTCAAATTCAACTTAAAAATTATACTCAAGTTACACTCTAAAAGAACAACCCCGTACATCAACATCATCAGTGATCAACACAAGTATAATTAAGACAACCAAAAAATAATTAAGTGCTTAGGCTCCACGCTCAAACAATTATGGTTAAAGGAATAACCCATTTCTTTCGCTATTTGAATCACAACTCAAATCTTTTGCAAGAGTGTTTTTATCTCAAAAAGTTCAAATTTAACATTTTGTGATACGGTATTTTCTATCGCATGAACTCACCTTTCAACGCAAGTTCTTGACTCAAACCCACAAACACGGGAAATGAACGGTGTTGAGAATTTGAGAATCAACACAACTTCACCTCATAATTTCAAAGACGGAAAGCTACAACAATTCTCTCAATGGACTGAGAAATCAGATCAAACTTATTCTTACAAGAAAAAAAAAATAGAAAAGAACTGCCAATTTCAATAAAATCCAGCAACAGCAATAATCATTTAGACTTCTTCCCTTGTTTGTTCTTAATAACTTCATCAATGTACATAATACCTTTGCCTTTGTAGACCTCAGGAGGCTTGCAACTGCGAACGGCCGCAGCGAATCGGTGAACCCTCTGCTTGTCAATCCCAGTGCAGCAAACGACATTGTTTTTGCAGCAGAAAACGCGAACAGCAGGAGGCACGCACAGTTCAACCTCGTGGCTGTATCCCAATTTCAGGTACAGCAAACGACCTTGCGATTCGGCTCTGGCCTTGTATCCCACGCCCACAATCTTCAGAAACCGGAAGAAATTGGCTTCCATTTTTAACGCCAAGTGGAAGAAGCTCTTGAAAACTTATTTGATGTTTGTTTGGTTCTCGAGAAAATGCGGAACGGGATTTTGTGAATTTGTTTGGGTTTCTTAAGTGAATGAAATAAAGGACTCACCTTTTGGGTTTGAGATCAATAAGGACAAGCTCTCACTTGTGACGGCTTCTGTTCCCTCGCTAGGGATCCCCAAAGAGAAATTGTAAATTGGGGCTACTGCCTACTCTCTGTGCGCGCGCGCCAATTGACTATTAACCTTACACGGAAAACGGCAAGTCGTTTCTGAACATTGTAGGCATTAAAACGACAGTAAATGTATACTGTAAAGTGGAAACTAATACGGCGTTTCATTGGCGAAGACGGATGGATGTAAAAGACAAACGGGCAAACTTTACAAGCGAAACGACATATTGTTTTAAATTGAAACAACAGTAACCAAACGTGGCCTTTTCTGCGAAAATGACGGCAAATATTCTAGCTCTTAACACTAGTTTCTATCAAACATTCTGCCTCAAGTAATGCTTGGAAATGGGATGCTGGGGACATTATTGTTGCTTGTTAGACTACTATCAGAACTAGGGTTATTTTTACAAATGACCTCGAATATATATATATATATATATTAGATTTAGATGTTTAGTTACCTGAAAAGTTTCTAAAATCTAGCACCAGTAAAAGTCTGGGAGAAACTCTTAAGCCATTAGAAATGACAGTCGCAGCAAACGACAATTCAGCCTTCCTCCGTAATGCTAGATTCGTTTGAAATAGACTAGTAAACACATAATTACTCTTTTTCTTGTATGTTGAACAATAAGAAGATACAAATATGCATACAAGTACTAGATAACAAAGCTCTAGAATCTTGCAATAGACGTATTATTAACGAAGGAGTCAATGGAATCATTGGAACTAGACATTTAAAAGTGAATGTTGGGGAACAAAATGAGATAATTACATATTCTCAAAGCTGTAAATAAGAACAACCATTTAATCAATGAGTAATCACATGGTGCAGTTACATCTACCACTTCTTCTGAATCAAGAGCCTGACAAACTTGGATGACCTAAAATTTTTCACCATGAATACTATCAAGTATTAAACAAAATCACTTTTGATTGATATCATTACCAAAACTTGTGATGCTGTTGGGGTTACAGTCACAGTCATTGTTCAACTTACTAAATAAATTTGTGATCTAATCAAGCAATATTCTATGTCACTGGCAAAAAAAGAAAAAGAAAAAAACAATCTTCTATGTGACAATCCATTTAGGGTTCATTTCCAAGATGAATGAGGCAGATTCGTATCTACAGAAGCTAAAGTGCTTCCTGAATGAGCCTTTCTGTAAGAGCTTTCGGAAGTCCCATAACTGCATCACCTGTTCCAATCTGTCCCACATAAAAGAGGTTATTTCCAACAAATACATAGGAGAAATTGTATGATACAAAGAATTCACACAGTGAAACCACTTCAAGTACTCTTAATGAACGTGAGAAATGGTAAAGAGCTAACCACTGCTTCTACAAACCGCAATATCAATGGATTTTCCAGTGTCAAACCTCCAGCAACATTGAGCGTGATTGCCTCTTCTACCTGGGCACAACTCAAAAGGCTCATATATCACATTCAAAAGGAAAAAGAAGAGAAAAGAAAAAGTGTCTCAAGAGAATAGTAAATCCAAAAAACTTACCAGGGTATCAATAACTTCATCTGGTATGTCATGAAAATAAACCTGTGTGTGTACATCAATTTGTATAATTCCTCCCAAAAGAGAGAGAGAGAGAGAGAGAAATAATAATAATAATAACGTGCATGGCCATGGATAGATAATGTCGTTGAAAGAAATTTTGAACTCATACCGACTTAAATGGAAAAAGAGATCAAACAATAAGGTTATTTTGTTATTGAAATCTTTTTGACAAATTAAATGCAAATCGCTTTTGACATATTGCAAATACTATTTTTAGGCAAGGACTAAAAGTGAGCTAAAAAATGTACCTCTGCTCTCTCCCATCCTCCTTTCCTTTTTCCTGTTTTAAGATTGGTTACTAGTACGGATCCCACAACGGCTGCTTGACTACCAGAATAGCCTGCAACTCATATAAACCTGATCACTACATTAAGTCAGTTCCTGCAAAGGAAAAAACCAAAGAGTTTCGATAGTACACCTTTGATGAAATCCCGCGCTTCTTCCTTACTGGACGGTTTTTCTCTGATCATCCCTTTGGATACAACCACCTAAAAACCAATGACATTTCAATAGAATGCTACAAAAGTGAAACAATAAACATTTCAATAGAATGCAACCCCGTTGCTAAACTTTTTTAGTGTAGTTTAATCATTGAAAACAGGCCAACAGGACATAAGCTATTAAGAGATGTTAAGAAGAGACTTCAGAATAGATTAATGTCACTTTCCACTGCACGCCATTTCAAACATCTCAGACCAGGTGTGCTCTAGTCACAAATTGTTTATCGAGGCATGCTTGTCATAGAGAATGGTCACACACACACAAGTACCAAAAAGCGTGGCTCTCCTTAAGTCGTATATAGAGAATAAGATTAAGTAATTGCATGAATGAATTTTCGTTTAAATCTTAATCCACTGATCTTGGCTTATGAATGATAACACAAATATTACAATTCAAAAAGCAAATCCTTCTCGTGCATAAGGAGACAACTCCATGCTTAAAAATCAGTTAAAAATTCTAGAAAGAGACACGTGAACTGAAGCATACAGTGTCTGCCGTAATTAAGAGTTTTTCCTCGGTACTTTCTTCCAATTGACCTCTACTTTTGAGCCTTGAAATTATGGCATCTGCCTGAAAAAAAAATAAAAAAAAATAGCCAATTTAAGACTAGAATCGGTAACATAGGTTACAGTCACGATACTTAAAAATTACATAAATTTTAAGGTTGAGGGTTGAGAAAAAATAAGTTCGGATCAGAATTGAATCGACTTAAAATTGACACAACACGGGTCAATTTTGAGTTGGACCCACAGAACCCGAACACTCATTACATATTTTTTATTTTATAATGAACTTGTGATATCATGATAGTTATACACAAAATCTTATACTATTATTTGCTTAATTTCAATAGATGTTATTGTATTTTAGTGTGTTATGAATTTTAAATTATTTCTAATATGTAAAAAACTAAATAAAAAGTATACAATTTTCGTATTAATTTCGGGTTCACGGGTCAATTTCGTGTCACAAGTCATTTTCGTGATGTGTCGTGTCAACCCGTAAAGTGGTTGTTTCGTGTTCGTGTTACGATTTTTAAAAAATTTCGTGTCACGAGTCGTGTTCGAATTGACTGTAAATTAAAAAACAACAATCAAAATACGATACGAACACAACACGTGACACGAATTACCACTTTTATCCAAGACAAATAAAGCTCATTGGAGCCGTCACTAATCTATATAAATATATATATATATATATATTAAGGAAAACAAATAAACTAGAAAAATATAACAAATAAAAGAAAACATACTTTTGCCTCAGCTAGAGCCATTACCAATTCTTCTGGCTTTTCCTTCCTTATACTTCTCTCATCTATGTCTGCAGTCTAAACCATGAAACCCAAATAAGTAACCATGAAACCCAAATAAGTAACCATGAATCTCCACTTAAACAAAAAGAAAGAAAGAAAAAAAAAACTCTTTCTGTAGCCACTGTACCATTAAACTGAACTCGTAACCCATCTCCTTAAGAAGCTGTCGGCGAGCCATTGATGCCGAACCCAATATTATCTGTCACAAAAATTCCGAAAGTGTTATAAGTCAAGACATAAACGACACCAATAAACACACGTAATTGTGAGTATTTTCTTCAACTCAATTTCAAGACATTTTTCTGGGATTTACATTTTCAAATGCCAAATCCATAGTTACCAACATAGAATGTTTAAATATCTGGGTTTTTCCTTCTGAGTACTCGTAATCCACAAATACAATTACCCTTTTTTTGGTTGGTTATTGCTTGCACTTAAAATAAGTTGGTGAACCTAAAATGACAAATACAGTGTTTGGCAGAGAGTAATGCAATGAACCTGGAACGACATCGTTGGCTCCGGGCCCTTTTCAGGTTTCTGCTTTGTTCAGACAGATTGCGCAAGTTAGCAACTTTTTTACTTGATGGCGAAGGGCTATCGCTCCAATAAAACAGGGAAAATGAAAGAGGAAAAAAAAAAGGGGGGACAAAATCACAAATATTTATTTTGTTGTGTTATTTATGTATTCACTCCTGAAGTTATAGGGTTTCACGACTTGTCTTTGAATTTTGACAATTTATCTTCTCAACTGACAAAACAGTAGCGATGTACTACTTTTTGATGATTATTATGATATTAATTGGTGACTAAAAAGCACGTTCGACGTAAAATTTTAAGGGATTATTTTTTTATAATAAAATTTAAAAAAAATTTAAACTCGAGTTATAATTTTATTTAAGTTTGTGTTTTTTTTTTTGTAAAATTTGAGTTTGAATTCGAGTTTATGGCTAAATTTGAGTTTAAATTTCCCCTTCAACTCGAGTTTATAAACTCGAACTCAAGTTAATGAACAATATTTTTTCTATTATTAAAAATGTCATAACGAAAAGTCGAATAAAACCCTACTCATATATCCTATTAAAATTTTTCATCACCATTGAGTTTTTATTAAAATACTATCTAAATATAAATTTAAGTTTTGACCCACCTAAACACAAACTCAAAAAGATTATCAATTCAAATCATAATTCAAATGTCCACATCCAAACACAAACTCAAATTACAACTTCAACTCAAGTTATAAATCAAACTCAACTCAAGATCATCACTCATGTCACTCTAATTCAAAAATGCAAAAAAACAACCCGTAAGTTTCGTTTGGTATGAGAGTTCAAATTAGAGTGATTTTAGTTTTGATTTTGAAATCGAACCATAATTCATGATTTTGGGTCCAAATCATAGTTTTGAAATCAGAACCAGAATCAGGGGTTGAATCACCTAAAATCAAGGGGGAGGTGGTTTTAGAATCAAAGGTGATTCTAGTTTAAAACATCACATCAGGATTCAAACCTTGAATCAGAACCATCCAAATCAAATACTGATTCTGAGTGAGTCAAGTCAGAACTACTTTTTAATTTTTGTAAACAAACATTGTTTGAACCAGAATCATGGTTTCGAGTTCTAGAATCCTTTTACCAAACGTGCTCTTAATAACTCAATTCAAACTATAACACAAATCTCAAATTTCAATCATTCTCAATTCTTTAAATCTAACAATAATTAGAATAAAATTGATAAAATAGGACATATTGTAACTATTTGCAAATTAAAAGGAAAAATTGTCGAGTTAAAAATTTATTAGGCAAATTGTTAAATCTCTAAAAATTCATGGGGCAAATGTGCAAATCAATTTTTTTCCTGTGGTATACTACTCCTGGTACTATTCCTCCTAAAAACCGCAAATGAAGAGACGCCGTAAAAACCATCAAAATAAAAGGAAAAGAAAGAAAAGAAAAGAAAAGAAAACAGCCTCTCAAAAAAAAAAAAAAAAAAAAAGAAAAGAAAAGAAAATCCAAAGGACAACGTTTACAGTTCACACCACCGCCTAACTTTGCTCTTCTTCCTCAATCAATCCCAAATATCCAAAAACAAGGTGTTAAGTGTTAACAAATATGGCGTCTGAAAACGACAACACCGAACAGAGAACGTCGTCGTCTGATTCGGCTCCAGCGTTTGGTTCTTGTCGAAGGAAGAAGAACTTCAGGAGTGGAAGTTTCGTTTCGGATTTGAGGGATCACGTTCACGAGTTTCTTCATGCTTCGGCTGACGAGCACAGAACTTGCTTGAAAGACACAATTCAGAAGGTGGGTCCCTCGGATTTTTTTTTTCCCTCATCTTTATATATTGATTGGAGTGATTGATATTATCTCTGTTTTGGTCTGAAGCAGATGTTTAGGACTTCGAAAGCTGTTGGAGAAAAAAGCAGTGGCCGAATTGAAGGTGAAACTTCGCTTTCTCTTCAAACAACCATGTCGGATTAGGAATATTTCTTGTGTAATTTTGGATTATTGGAAGTAAAAATGACTCTTGAGCCTTTGCTTAGTATCAGATAGTGTATTTTTGGGCGCAACTTTAAGAAGAGTGACTATAATGATATTTGGAAATTGATTGGTTGAATGTGATTATGTTCAAGATGATAAATTGAGAATTTTCAGCCCTTGGATGATAAATCTTGATATTTTCATCCCTTGGATGATAAATCTTGATGTTTTCCATTTCATTTCTAGTGTTCTTTTTAGCATGAGTTGAACTCAGTTTTAGTCCCGAACTATAGACCAATTCTCCTTTTGGTTTCTGATTTTTGAAACGTCCCATAATGAGTTTTCGATCGACCAAAGTGCTCCTTTTCGTCCATCTGATCGTTAAAATCTCAACATAAAAAAAAAAGGACTTTCTTGTTAACAGTGGTGCCCTTATATGTATAGTTATAAAATCGCGTTAATAATTGCACACGGTTCTCACACATCTTTTTTCGTTCAACAGTTAAGTAGACAAAATGACTAATTGGGAACAATTTGATAAAACAGGGACTCGTTTTGGAACGCTTTGAAATACAAGGACCAAAATGAAATTTGGCTTGAATAGTTTAGGAACCAATAAAGTAATATATCTTCTAATGACTAGGAAATACGTGATAGGAAAGCAACTAGATGTGGATGATTCTTGCACAACAATTTGTGCAGTTACAGGAGAAAGATTGTGGAATTAGTAACAAAGGATAGATATAGGGAGGAAGCAAAAAGTGAATCTCTTATGGTTACGGCTTGTTAATTGCTATACTAGATCTGCTTTCGAGAGAAAATGGCCGTCGTCTGTGCTGCGGGATGCCGCCATTCATCAGATCTTTAGATTGTTCGGCCTGTGGAACACCATACAAAGTTAGGATGTCAGTAGAAAGAACATCAAAGGAATGAAAGTGAGCAAACAAGGAAAAAAAAATCTCTTTAAGAACTACTTTTGAGATGAATATTGAAGGACATTAGTTGTAGATGGAGGAGTTGAACAGGCTTGTTCGTTTGCACTCAATTTCAAAAAAAGTTTGAACTCAAGTTATAACTCTATTCAAGTTCATGTTTTTTTTTGTAAAATTTGAGTTTGAACTTGAGTTTTAACTTGAATTTTAACTTGAGTTTGGGGTTAAAATCTAATGAGTTCAAGTTTCCTCTTCAACTCAAGTTTATAAACTCAAACTCAAGTTAATGAACAGTATTTTTTCTATTATTAAAAACGCTATAACTTTTTCGTTTTAATTCCAATTGAGATGATTCTTTTTTTATGTATTCACAACGAAAAGACGAATAAAACCTCACCCATATACCCTATTAAAATTTTCCATCATCATTGAGTTTTTATTAAAATACTATCTAAATACAAACTCAAGTTTTGACCCACTCAAACACAAACTCAAATTACGACTTCAATTCAAGTTATAACTCAAATTCAACTAAAATCTACACTCAAATCACCATAACTCAAAAATGTAACTGAACAAGCCCACAATATATTGATAGAATAAACGCAATGAATATGCAATGAAACCCATAGTTAGGACAAAACATGCATGTTTAGGAATAAGAAAGCGCCCGTTGGTGTTATAAATTTCACTCTTATGTTTTCACGGTAAACAATCTGTTGTAAATTTCTTTCCTTTAGGAATTGAACAGGAAATTAATGTTGCTCGGGGTGTTTGCCATAGGCATAACAATGGAGGTTGATCAGGAATTTGGCCATAACCATAAACTGTATGCCAGATTGTTTGGTGGGCATAATGACAATGCACGGTATCGTTACAAATGCATTGATTTTGCGGCCGTTAGATGTACAGGAAGTAAGAATATTCCAAAGTTAAACTGATTCAGTTAAGGATTTCAGACATGTTTCTATAATCTCATGATGTTTCAACTAAAGGTTAAGAAGATGCACTTACCTATGCTCGTCATTGCTAATGTTGTTTCCTTTGCTACTTCCTTGATCTTTCCTATACTTGGGAAGGGGAATTTTGCCCGACTCAATGCGGTTGATGTCCTCTTGAAGGATCTCATATTGCCTCTTTATTTCCTCTTCAGTTGCCCCTCCAACAACCTTGGCTATCTTGAGCCAACGATCAGGTTCTTCCTTATCATATATCGCCAGAGCATTTTCAAACAACTTATTTTGCTCGGCTGTCCAAGTTGGACCGGAGGTTGGTGAAGAAATCTGGCTATATGAATATGACATTCTTGAACAAAGGTGATGTAGTCGATAAAAAGATATTAGGATAATGCTCAATGGTTTGGAAGGCATGAAATGTAAATAAAGGTGTGGAAAATTTTGAAGTCAAGCGATTAGCAAAGTAGTCCAAGAAGTTGCTGGTTATACAGGGAAAAGGGGGGTGCAAATTGGCAGACAAATTTTACAGGGTGAATATTATTAAAATAATTGTACACTAATCAGGATCATGAATAGTGTGAGAGAGAGAGTGTCCGGGGAAAGAAAGTTGCGTCCTTTTTTGGTCCCGTTCATTTCACCGATTTGAGTTTAAAATTTGAGTTTTACTACAGTAAAAAGCTCTCAGAAACAGTCACATCTAACTTTTTTACTACAGTAAAAAACTCTCACATAAAGTCATATTTTAATTCGAATTAAAAACTCGAATTAGCGAACTAAACGGGCCCTTAAGACTTTACTTAATCTACCATCAAATAGAAAGTACTATGATCTTTATAAAATCTTATAAGCATGTGGGTTTCATTAGTAAAAGAATCCATAAACAATCTCGAAAGAAATGACCGACTAAACGTCCGTGAGTATTATATCCAATTTCGATGTGTCGCTTGGTGTACATGGATTTCTTTGTAGAACAATCCTAATTTGGTGAATCCACGTTGCCTTATTATCAGGTTAAACTACATGTTCTATATTGCTCCCGTGATTATGAGTGCAAATTTTATCAATCCAGGTACTATCTTCCAAGCCAAGATGTCCCACAATGTATATAATATATATATATATATATATATATGTGTGTGTGTGTGTGTGCGTCCATCGTATTACTATTTAGCATTTGTAAAGTTAGGCAGAGACTATTCTCATTTGTTATTTGTTAACTTGAGGCAACTATATCCCATCTAATAAACTATTCTCCCATGTTTTCTGGCAGTTGTGAGGGCCAGATCATGGTTATTTATAACAATTTGACCACTAAACTACTTCCCTTTATCGGGCAACTAAATTATGATGTCTATTACAAAAGTTCACAAGTATACATGTCTATTGGCTATCTCTATAGCTCTTTAACTTGATGCCAATTGCCAGCAATGTAACTCGAGACTCTAATATATCTCCTAGAAAGACGTTCTTCACATGTATTATATTGAACTCTATAGCGGCTACAATCTTTTCCTTTTCAGTTGACCAATGTGAACGAAATCTTTTTAGCTTATTAGGTGCCTTTTTTTCTCACTCAACTCTCAACTCGCCCTTTCTGTCCACCTTTACAAACGGGCGAATTAGGTAAGAAAAATGCATCGCTTTTTTTCCTTTTTGGTTTATTTATGAACATGATTTTCATTCTTTAGCAAAAATTGACCACTTTTAACATAAAAATGGGTGTTGTTAACTAAGATAAAGCTATTATAGTTCAGATTGAGATTTTCTTTAGATCTTCTTTAGATCTTCCTACATGAAAAGCGTTTACCTAATAAAACATGTGAGCGAAGAAATTCAATAGTCTAAGTAAGCTTTAATATTTCTAGCAAATTCATCGCATCCGACCGCTGGAGATGGGACATAATGAAATCTTCTTTGGCTTATGTGCTTTAGAAACAAGCGATTTAGGTGAGAAAAATGCAACAAAACGGACCCATTTGGTACTATTTACCAATTCGGCAATCAATGAACTCCCGGAATTAAGATATCGAGCATTAATTTGATCGCTCGTGATCTTGCTCTATCAGCTCTCAATACATTGATTCATCAGTCTACTCATGATGATATTAATGCTGGTAATCTTCTTTTATAGCAATCTGATTGCCATATCTTTGAGAACAATCATTCTGATATCGTTTCAAAAGAAGAGACATAAGCAGATATCTTTTCAAATAAATCCGAATCCATTTATAGAAATTCAAAGAGATTTATTGTAGTTCTCTCTCGTCTCTTACTCTTAAAAGCATGAATAGAGAAGTAATTCACGCAAAGAACACATAGGCAAACACAGTTTATTTTCCCGAAACAAAAATCTATCATGCCTATAAAACTTGCCAAACGCCACTTTTTCACATGCATTGAACACATCACCAAAATCAGAATCTTGTGTGTACAAATCCTTAATGTATTCAAAGCCAAACAATTTTGTATCTAAAATGGAAAGTAAAGTATACCTTCGGGACAAAGCATCGGCCACCACATTTTCCTTACATTGCTTGTATTTGATCACATAACGAAATGTTTCAATGAATTCCACCTACTTGGTATGGCATTTGTTCAATCTTTGTTGTCTTGAAGGAGCGGTTGAACGTTCGACGCGACCGAGACATGCATCGGACCAAGGAAGAAGAGCTCGCGGCCGAGAATAAAGCTCTGGCCGAAAAGATGGCTAGACTAGAAAAGTAAATAAGGAGTCGGCTGAACAACTTCGAGCAAGTCGTGGGAAAGGTGGATGACGCCGTGAATGTCGACGCCAAGATGTATACGTCTCATGACCACCCATTCATAGAGAACATCATCCAGGTGCCATTGCCCGATAAGTACAAGTCGTCACTTATTTCACTATATGATGGAAGGAGTGACCCGGACGACCACCTGAAAGTCTACACGGGGCACATGGTCCTACACGGATACCCCGAGGAGGTCATGTGCCATGCATTCAAAAATCATCTTTTTGACTCTGCCAGGAGATGGTTTCGGTCCTTAAAACTGAACTCCATGGTTTCGGGTTCTAGAATCCTTTTACCAAACGTGCTCTTAATAACTCAAATCAAACTATAACACAAATCTCAAATTTCAATCATTCTCAATTCTTTAAATCTAACAATAATTAGAATAAAATTGATAAAATAGGACATATTGTAACTATTTGCAAATTAAAAGGAAAAATTGTCGAGTTAAAAATTTATTAGGCAAATTGTTAAATCTCTAAAAATTCATGGGGCAAATGTGCAAATCAATTTTTTTCCTGTGGTATACTACTCCTGGTACTATTCCTCCTAAAAACCGCAAATGAGAGACGCCGTAAAAACCATCAAAATAAAAGGAAAAGAAAGAAAAGAAAAGAAAAGAAAAAAGCCTCTCAAAAAAAAAAAAATAAATAAATAAAAGAAAAGAAAATCCAAAGGACAACGTTTACAGTTCAGACCACCGCCTAACTTTGCTCTTCTTCCTCAATCAATCCCAAATATCCAAAAACAAGGTGTTAAGTGTTAACAAATATGGCGTCTGAAAACGACAACACCGAACAGAGAACGTCGTCGTCTGATTCGGCTCCAGCGTTTGGTTCTTGTCGAAGGAAGAAGAACTTCAGGAGTGGAAGTTTCGTTTCGGATTTGAGGGATCACGTTCACGAGTTTCTTCATGCTTCGGCTGACGAGCACCGAACTTGCTTGAAAGACACAATTCAGAAGGTGGGCCCCTCGGATTTTTTTCCCTCATCTTTATATATTGATTGGAGTGATTGATATTATCTCTGTTTTGGTCTGAAGCAGATGTTTAGGACTTCGAAAGCTGTTGGAGAAAAAAGCAGTGGCCGAATTGAAGGTGAAACTTCGCTTTTTCTTCAAACAACCATGTCGGATTAGGAATATTTCTTGTGTAATTTTGGATTATTGGAAGTAAAAATGACTCTTGAGACTTTGCTTAGTATCAGATAGTGTATTTTTGGGTGCAACTTTAAGAAGAGTGACTAAATTGATATTTGGAAATTGATTGGTTGAATGTGATTATGTTCAAGATGATAAATTGAGAATTTTCAGCCCTTGGATGATAAATCTTGATATTTTCATCCCTTGGATGATAAATCTTGATGTTTTCCATTTCATTTCTAGTGTTCTTTTTAGCATGAGTTGAACTCAGTTTTAGTCCCGAACTATAGACCAATTCTCCTTTTGGTTTCTGATTTTTGAAACGTCCCATAATGAGTTTTCGATCGACCAATGTGGAGGCTAAGGCTTGAATTGCGCCTTCCAAGAGCACTATCAGTACAGCTTCTGCGCCGGCTTCCTCGACGGCGGCGGCTCCTCCGCCTCCCAAAGCTAGTTCGGGTGGTTCGGGTTCTTTGCCGCCTCCGCTTCCAGGGTCCACCGTTGTGCCTTTCACGACAATGCAAGCTGCGGTCTCGAAGAACATGGCGGAGAGCCTCTCCGTGCCCACTTTCCGCGTTTGTTATCCCGTCACCACCGATGCCCTCGACGCACTCTATGATAAGGTATTGAAAATTCAGACCTTGATTCTTGAATTTTATGTTTTGGCTAACAAAGTAGTCAAATTTTCTTGTTTGCTTGATAATGTGTTAATTTACATTGTCAAGTAAGGCCGTTGTTAGGTTGTTTGTATTGTTTGAAGTGTCGAATTTGGTTTTTGTTGGTGTTTGGATTGTGGGGTTTTGAATTGAATTGCCTTGTGCTCTTTCGGTCAAACCGAAGGGTGTCACCATGACTGCCTTGTTGACAAAGGCCACTGCTATGGCTCTTGCTCAGCATCTGGTTGTGAACGCTTCGTGCAAAGCCTTACTGACCTTGGGCAAAGGATCCATCATCAACACCTGTCCGCGTGTCATGGTAAAGGATTCAGTTAATCCCATGAGAAACTTTATGGTTTTCTGTGTTTCTCGATAAGATAACTCCTCCTTCATAGTTCCACAATGGCAGGCTGGAATAGGGAAAAGAACATCCCTCTCATCCCATAATCCTTTGAGTTTGGTAAAGTAGGAGCCAACAGACATGGTCCCTTGAACACAATCACGTATCTCATTTTCAATATGAAAGAGTTGGACGCTGTTTACTTGAGAGAATCGTTCCCGCAACTCATTCCAAACTGCTTGTGCTCCATCACAATAGAACACGCTGGCTGCAATTTCCTTGGAGATCGAACTCAATATCCAAGTCTTGACAAGATTGTCACAACAAATCCATTGCTGCAACTCGTCCCCTGCATCATTGTTTGGTCGTTTCATCGATCCGTCAACAAAGCCAAATTTGTTTTTGACCATTAAGGCCATAGTCATGGAGTGGTTCCATGTGTTATAGTTCTCCTCAGTGAGAAGTTGTGATACAAGAACCAACCCAGGCTGATCTGCATGGTGAAGATACAGTGGGTGATTGGGGTTGTTAAGTTTGGATGCCATGCTTGATTGAGTTGGCTTCTCTGGGTTGTTCTGATCTCCCATGGTTTGAATATTGTTTATCGGAATGGACGATCAATTGGAAGAAAAGTTGCTGTAATGGGCAGAGTTTTCAGGCCACCAAGATTCGACGCTCTGATACCATAATAAGAAGGTATTTTGGTGAAAAATGATATGCTGTGTATTTCAACAGTAAAAGAATACATCTTTATACACGATTCTATACAATTTAGATCCTATTCTAATGCCTATAAATTAGCTCTGACTTTACTAAGATGGTAACAAACTAATTGAGTTAATATACAATATTTGCTTTCCTATTTTACTTGATTGTCTTCAACACTATTTAATATATGCCTTGGAGGAGATGCCGAAACTTTCGCTTTAGCAAAGATATGAAGTAAAATTGTTGAACTTATAATCTCATAATATAAATACACACACACATATGTATGTATATAATGTAGCTAGTGCCACATATATTTAACTATATATGTTATATAGGTCTATTTGGCCAAACTTTTGTAGTCATATATATACCTTCCTTAGTTGTAATGATCTCAACTTGGACATGATAGCAACAATCGTTTTACTTTATTACCTTTTCTAGAAATTAACATTATTTCTGTGAAATAAATGAAAGGAGTACTATTAATTTTCAGCAAATAAAAAATCAGAGTACTATTTTGAATAAGGAAATTGTTGTTGAGTGTGTGTGTTCATTTAGAGGGTTTATTTCTTGCGTAAAAGTTGCACTTTGATCCATTCAATACTAACTCATTTTTTTTCCCTTCATTCTGCAGAGGATTCCGAGACAATTTATGACAAACTATGGAAAGACAATATCAGATCCAGTAATTATTACGACACCGAGTGGTGCAAAATGGCATATGGGATTGACAAAATATGATGGTGATATTTGGTTGTGTAAAGGTTGGCCAGAATTTGTTCAACACTATTCCTTAGAGAATGGACAGGCCTTGTTCTTCAAATACAAAGGGTGTTCTCAATTTGATGTAGTCATAATTGGTGTTACTGGTCTAGAGATAGATTACTCTATAACTAATTCCACCCAGGTTATTGAGTCCGACATTGATGATGGTGACAACGATGATGATGACGGTGACGGTGGCTCTCCCTGCCTGAAAGAAGAGGAGGAACCGACGACCCCATTTCCTCAACATGCTCGGAGTCCGGAAAGAGTTAAAAGAAATATTGGAGATACTCATACTCAATGTGGTAATGATGAAACGGATCTTGAATTTGATACAAAAATCTGCAATAAATTTAGAAGCAGAACACACACATCTCTCAACTAGTAACTATGTTGGAATATTAGAATCCATAGCGTGTTTATTGTAGCTGCTCTCACATTCTTACTGTTCGAAGTTTGTTTATCTATTTTGTCTGTGCTCTATTTTTTTCCCTTTTTACTCCCCGAAGCGTCAATGTTCTTTTTTTTTTTTTTTTGCATTTTCTTCTGCTTTTCTCTCTCTTCTTTTTTTGTTATTCTCTCTCTCGTCTTTTCTTTCTTCTTCTATGTTTGCTTCTTGCTCTTCCACCCCTCTCTATACTTTGATGAAAAAGGAACCTGTTAATTATGGCTTCTAAGAGGAGGCTGTCTAGAAATTGTTATGTGAAGATCTTTGCCGAAATAGGGAAAAAAAAACACTATCTCTTTCCTGAGTTTTTAATCATATGTGTTTTTCCCTTTTATGCAGGTTGCTTCTCCTCCTTCAATTGGGTACACGTCATTTCTTTATTTTCTTTTTTTTCACATGGGGTTTTCCCTTTTTTTTTTTCTTTTTTGGGTTAACTAGTACGCCACATATCCAATCGTCAATGTATTTTCAGATAATCCCAGTAGCTTTTGTCACGCATTTTGATGGAAAAATACCTAGGAGGTGCCTTCTTTGGAGCCCCGCTGAAAGATTTTGGAATGTTAATGTGGAAAATTTCGGTAACGCGTTATTTTTGAGGAGGGTTGGAAGGAATTTGCGCAAGAAAATGGTTTGGAGCTTGGAGATTTTCTTGTGTTTCACTATGTTGAGAGTTCGTAATTTCATGTTGAAATTTATGGTAGAACTTGCTGCCAAAAGAGTACTACTGCTGTGACGGCTTCTAGGAAAAGAATTATGTTCCTCAATTATCATAGGGAAAACCAGAATAAGAGCTCAGAAGGGGAACAATCTAAAGAAGATGAAGTTTATGATCAAGGGCATTCTCAAAATAGGCATTCTAGTAAGTTTCTACTTAATTATAAGCAAACAAATGTTACCATGTCTTGGAAAATTGCAATTACAACTCTTTGGTTGATCCTTTTGCAGGTAGGATTCCCACTATTAGATTGACACCGTGTTCGAACGGAAAAGTATGCGCAAGTGAAGTGAGAGCTATTCAAGGAGCCAACAAGTATATTCCGGAGTATCCTTTCTTCAAATGTGTAATGTCAAAGGCTTATGTGATGAAAGGATTTTTGGTAATTTTTATAATTCATTCAAATTTTGTTGAGCAATTAATAGCAATAAATGTAGGTCATTATAAGGATTTTCTGTGACAGATTAGGGGATCTACTATTTCGCAGGGTATACCAACGAGCTTTTTCAAGATGATTATGAATAAGCTGGAAAGAGGAAGCACTGTCATGCTTCAGCATAATGGGAGGCCATGGCCTGTGAAGTTTTGTGTCGATGACAGGCCAACGGCGAGTTGAGGAATTGCTAATCGAAAGATTTAGAATATTAAGTAATAGAAAAAATTTAAAGCCATTGTATATCAAGCTTTTGCATTTCCAAAATAAATGAATAGAGCAAAACAGAAGTTGACACATCAAAGGCAGAACAGAAGAAATTCACAGCTTAGAGTTGGACATCCATGCATTTTCCATTATTCTTTTTCCTTTGTTGTTACTTATTACCCTTTCCTTTCTTTCCTCGAGCTTTTGTAGGGCTTTTTAGAACTGCCTTTTCAAGCCTTACCCGCCGAAAGTTCAACCAGCCCTCAAATCCTTTTTCATTCTCCTATCAACAAGAACTTTACCTTTGCCAACCTTTACTTGGACTCCTCTCTTTGCAACAGCATATTCCTTCTGTGGTTTATTTAAGAATTGCCTTTTTATATAATTGTTCAATTTGCTTCCTCTTTCAATCGTTCAGAAACGTCTGTCTGCTCTAATATAATGTTGGCCTTCTTGTGCAGCTTCTCAAGCTTCTTCATCGCAACTCCTTTCTTTCAGGCTTTGGCCTCTGCCACCTTATTCGCCGGTCGGGCATCAATTTCTTTAGACCGTGCTTTCATTGCAGCTATCTCTTCATTAGTTACGAGCTTATTTGGTTGGCGTTGCCTCCTTTCCTCATCCAAAAACCACTTGGGGAAGCCTCCATCATCAAACATGTACTTATTATAGCCATCATCTGAGTATTTGTTCCCTTTGTTTCTTCCTCACTCTCAGCATCTTGTTTGCACAAGCTAATATCTCAGCTTTTATGTCAATATCTTCATTTGAGGACGAGTCATCACTCAAATCTGCAGCTGGAATAATCTCTAAATCTTCTTTTTTAACCCCACAGCTTTGTTTTCTGTGTTTAATACTTTGGCCTTTTCATGAAAAATATATTTGGCACCTTTTCTTGCATTTCGTCTTCACTATCAAACTTCCCAAGATCACCATTCCGCGGCTTCAGCAAAGATGTCCTGACTAAACCACTTGTTTGTTATCTCTTCTTCATGAGTTAGACTGAGTGGTACCACAAGTGAATTTGCTTCCTGATCACTCGTGTCGTGTCTATCTGAATCATAATCAGACTGGTTAATTTCATCACCACCGCTCTGCACATCCCAAAACAATGATATTCACCATCACAAACATTATTTACCAAAAAAATAAAGCCTATAATTTCCAGAGTTGCCTATTAAGGCATTTCAACTTACGAACAAATAATTTGAGGAGTTTTGATAAAATAGTTCTGTACCTCAAGAAGATTGATGTCTTTAGAATTAGTTCTTCTCGCACATTTCCGCAGCGGCAGCATTGCACTACCCTCCTTGGAGAAAAACAGTTCATAAGCCTGATCAAGAAGATCTTCCATTTTTTCATCATAGCTAAACCATCAGAACACAAACAGATATATATTTATGGCGGGTTTCTAATGTTTTTGTCAACAGGTCATTATATCATTCTTATTGAAAATTATAAAAGTTTATATAATTCGTATTGACATTTTGATTCTCATGACTACTATTATAGATGTAAAAGATACCTTTGATGTAAATAATGAATGACGTTAGAGATATGGACCTATGTATGCAATAGAGCTTTTGTGCTCTTTTTCATTTCCTAACTTGAGCGAACTACTGCAATCTGCAATCTGTTCTATAGTAAATGGTTATCTTTTTTTGTATTTGATGTCATTCCTTTCTTTTATTATCTCGAAGACTTTTTATTGATTTTCTAGCTAACTCATGACCTTATTTTGCTCACATGATCTCTATAGGTTACTAAAAGCCATATGTCAAAACTGTTGCATTGCCCCACATATTTAATTCGATATGATCTCAATATTGTAATTGAATTAAGAAAATTAATATCTTCGAGAATGGCGATCTCAATTGTGTAGGATACAACCACCGGCACAAGAAGGGACAACTGCAGCTACCAACAAACCACCCGTAGTACGACGAGCAGTAGAAAAGATCCACCAACGCCACGAGCCCTGCAAGGAGGACTGTAACACGAAGAGGGCAACACCTTGGAGTTGAAGACCCGTCGGAGTTCCGACGCTCCCGGAGAAGGCTACCACAGCGGCGGCGAAACACCACCCAAAACAAGTTCCGGAGTTCTGGTCAAACCGAAACCACCCGTCACCGTCACACACGGCAGATCCACCGTGCGATTGAGATCCCGCATCTAGGGTGGAGATCCGATGAACCACCCGAAGGCGGCACTGGACTTGGGCCCCACTTGAGAGTCGTAGAGGGGCGGCACTAGGAGGGAAAACCCTAGCAGACGTAAATCATGGATTTCATAAAACACGCAAACGACCCTA